GTCTGCGAATGCTTATCTGAGAGAGAAGAGATTTTTAGCAATACCAAACAACTCTAACACTCACACGTAATTTGGAGCCCTGTTCACGCGCGCGCGAGACGTGCAGACAGGGTTGCCAGGTGAGAGCGAATGGCGTGGTTCACGCCTCGCACAACAGAGAGAGAGAGATGCGCTCTGCATGGTGGGACATAAAAGAGAGCGAGTACTTGGGCGAGTAGGCTGTGCGGTCAACGCTGCCGCGCGCGACTTTGCGCGCGAGGCGGCGCAGCTTGAGAACGGCGGTGGGCGAGAAGCCGCCGCCGAACGTCTCGTGGAGCAGCAGGTTGAAGTTGTTGCGCTTGACAAAGATCGCGTCGTGGTAGAAACCGCGATGCGCCTTGACGTAGCCGTGGCCGGTCTTGTGGGAGAAGGGTTGGCTGGGCTGCCCGCGCGCCTTGCAGCCCATGTTCAGGCGGCGGGCCTTCTCCTCGGTGTTGCCGAAGGCGTAGGAGTGGCCGACGGAGGCGGGCGTGCCGCCACTCGAGGCGTTGCCAACGCCCGTCGAGGAGGTCTTGAGGAGGGGCGTCCAGAGCTTGATCTCATTTACTTCATCGCATCCTCCTGGCCCCGCATGGGGTTCTGCGAGGTCAGTCTTGTACCCCTCATTGTACTGCCGGGTGAGCTCTGGTTTCTCCTTGTCGCCGTGCACGACCGGCGCGTTGGCCGGGGCGCGCATCGCGTCCGCCCAGGCGGCGAGGACGCCGTCGTGGGGCCGCCGGTGGTGGGCCTTGTTGTAAAGGTAGTCGCCGAAGAAATCGACTGGCATGCCCCGCTCGAGCGCGACCCGAAGGGTGGGAAGCGCCGCGGAGAGCCAAAGGCCGAGCTTCCGCTGGAGCTCGTCCTGGAGGGTGTCGGAGGAGAGGGCGGTGGCGTACGTACCGTCGACACGGACATCGAAGGCCTTGCCGGCGAAAGGCGTTGAGGCGGAGATGAGGCGCGCGGCTTCGCGGTTGTTGACGTTTTGTCTTATCTGTATTATCGCTTATCAGAGAGAGAGAGATTGTCTTATCAGTCAGCCACGAGAGGAGAGCGTGGCCGAGGGCTGGCTGCATAGACTCGATCGCAAGATCCCAGAAAGGCAAAAGAAAAACACATTCCAAAAATATATCTCTCTCTCCTCTGTAAAGAAAGGAAGAAATAAAGAAAACACACACCCCAAATGATGAGAGATGGGAGGAAGGGAGGAGGACAGGGTGACAGACAGGGATGGTCCCCACCTGCACGAGCAGGATTTTGGAACGTCGATCAGGGGCACAGGGGGTTCTCCTGCTCCTGACAAGGGACACGACAGGCTCGCAGCGCGGTGCCTTGCCAACAACCAACATTTAATTCGAGCTGGGGATAAGGCAAGGATGCATCCCTGACGTGCCGAAGGGACGCTGCGAGAGGTTGGGTCACAGGGCGGCTCGCGTCTTTCTGCTGCTAGGCTCGAAAACAAGCAATGCAATCGTCCGAAGAGCCATCGGGCCGCTCAAGCGGCGGCTCCCCGCCTCCTGTCCGCGAATCGGCGCGCGCCGCGTCGCCACCAGAGAAGAAACAGATCGGGCCGTCGGACGAGACCGACGACGAAGCGCCGCCTCGGAAGAGCCAGCTGGCTCGCTCGTCGGCGGCAAAGGCTGCGCCGCCGGCAGCGAGCCGCTCGAGCGACGAAGCGTCGCTGGGGCCGGAGCGCCCTCGCTCCGAATCGCAGCAGCGCCAGCGGGCGCCTCGCAGCTCGACGGGCGGCGGGAAGCCAGACAAGCAGCCAGGCGCGTCGACGCCGGGCAAGAAGGGGGCCATGGCGGCGGCTCCAGCAAGCAGGTCGCACAGCGGCGCGTCTCGCGCCTCGACGGGCAGCACGCCGCCGCCCAAGCCCTTTAAGCCGCTTCCAGGCAAGGTCACCGTTGGCGGCCGGCTGAGCCTCCCCAGCCTCCCAAGCCTCGCGCCTCCGCAGCTGCCGGACGCGCCAGCGCCCTCGCGCACCGAGTCGATCGCGGAGGAGCGGCGCCGCCACGGCGGCAGGTTCGCCACCGGCCACGTCGTCCGGCATGACCGCCACGCCGCGGCCTCCGAGGCCTCTGCTCTGGCCGCCGCCGCTGCGCTGGCGGGCCGCCGCTCGGTCGGCGACATCACGCGCGCCAGCAAGCAGAGCAAGCCGGCGGCCGCCTCGGCCGCCTCGTCGTCGTCGTCCGCCGCCGCGCAGGCGGGCCGCCGCTCGGTCGGCGATCTCCAGGCCGCGGGTTCCAAGCGCAAGCCGGGCGAGCCCGAGCCGTCTGACCCAGAGTCGGCCATGTCAAGGCTGTCGGTGGGCGATGTGGTGCCGAGGGCGACCGCCCAGGCGGCGCAGATCCGCCGCCGCACGGGCTGGTGCCCGTCCATCCGCGTCGCCGCCGCCGCAGTGGCCATCGTCGTCGTCCTCGCCGTCGCCCTCGGCATGGGTATCGGATCACCGAACCCTGACCCCCCATCGCAACCGTCGCAACCTCCGTCGCGAGTGGGGCGTATTGCGCCGTTCCCCCCTCCGTCGCCCCTGCCGCCCTTTGCACCCGGGAAGGTGCCGACGCCGCCGCCGGTGCCGCCACCACCGCCGTCATCGCCGCCCCTCCCGCCCTTTGCTCCCGGGGAAGCACCGGAGCCGCCGCCGTCTGCACCGCCGTCACCGCCGCCCCCGTCGCCGCCAAGGGAGGCCGTCTCAAAGTACTTGGCTACGCTCGACGTGAGCACGGTCGCCTTCAGCAAGGAGCCGGTGACCGTCGACGCCATCATCAAGGCGATCACCGCTGGCATCCTCAACCAGAGTGAGCCAGCGCAGCTGTCCATCGACGTGCTCCAGCAATTCGTCGTGGTCGCCCGGCAGAATGACCGGACTGATGATGATTTCGAGGAGGCCCTGTGCCGCGCAGACAACGACTACGACCCGGACGGATGCAGCGCGACACAGATCGCGGCGGCGCCGCCATCCCCGCCGCCAGCGACGCCACCGCCAGCGACGCCATCGCCGCCAGGGCAGCCGCCGCAACCACTGACGCCACCAGCGCAGCCGCCGCCAGGGCAGCCGCCGCAACCACTGACGCCACAAGAGAGCCGGCGCTTGCTCTCCCTCTCCCGGCGGCGCGCACTCAGCGTCGCTGGCGGCGCTCAGTGGGACATGCGGGCGAGGCTGGTGAACACGTCGCACAGGATCTCCCAGCCTCCTGACCTTGGCGAGTTGGCCGAGGCGGTGACGCTGGACGCGGTGATCGTCGAGATCGAGACGTTCGTCCTGCCTTCGTCGCCGGGCAGCCTTTTCGACGACGCGAGAGATAGCGGCAGGGTCAGCGCAGAGGTGGTGCCGGGCGTCCTGGCGGCGCTGCTAGACCTCAGCAACTTGACCAACGCAACCGATCCCTTCAGCTTCATCACCAATGTCACCACCTACCTCTTTCCGCCAGCCCCGCCGCCGTCGCCGCCGTCGTCGCCACCCGCACCGCCTTCGCCGCCGTCGCCGCCATCCTCGCCACCGATGACGCCACAGCCGCCATCGCCGCCACCCTTGCCGCCATCGCCTCCCTCCCCCCCATCGCCACCGTCGTCACCGCCCTCCCCGCCGCCGCCGCCGCCACCGCCGTCGCCATCGCCGCCTCCAAGCCCACCCTCGCCGCCGCCGCCCTCGCCGCCGCCGCCCTCGCCGCCACCGCCCTCTCCGCCGCCGCCTTCGCCGCCGCCGCCCTCGCCGCCACCGCCCTCGCCGCCTCCACCCTCGTCGCCGCCGCCCTCGCCGCCGCCGAGACCACCTCCACCATCG